CTAGGGATGAAGCCTTCACTTCACAGACAGCCATTCTTCCATGGAATCCTAAAACTAAATCCCAAAATATGATTATCATTCAAGTATTCCCCCTCTTTTTTTGGACCAGGGATTGAACTTGGGATCTTGTGCTTGTGAGGCAGGTGGCAGAACCACTGAGCTAAATCCCCGGCCTCAACTAACCCTTTTTTGCAGCAAAAATATATACTAGAAGGCCATCTATTACGTTGAAGATGTTGGTTTCATGATTCATGTAAAAGTATGAGAACTGTCAAAATTTTTTCTTACATTCGCAAATTTATAATTTACCACACTGGAAAAGAGGATATACTATATGTATTGTATTTCTTTACATTTTCAAGGCATTCGTGTTATTTTGTTCTATAGAGGGACAAGGGCAGGGGTAGAAAGCCCTTCTGGGACACTATACTCACCCTCATCTGGATCATCCAGAAGACAAAATACCTGTCTCCCTTTTGTATAGCTTTGCCTCTAATTATCCAGCTCCTTCACTTTAAAGTCAAATCGTAGTCAGCTTCACATCACTATGTCAGCAAACCTGAGATTTTGCAAATTCTACCTTCCAATGGACTATGAAATGCCCTGCCAGTTTCAGGTTCCACAGAATGGTCTCATCACAAAGCACAGACTGCCACCTACCGACGGTGATCCCTTCCTGCTCAGAACTCATCTCAGCCAATCTCTCACAACAGGTTTTTGTCGCTAAGTCATTTAATGCAATTTATGCAACTATATCAATATACTTTAATAGTTCTTCTAAATAAAAATTAGTTTAAAAAAAGAATTCTAAGCAGTGATCCTCCTGTATAGCTCAAAATTCCTGACCTATTTTCAAAGAGCCGAGATTATAAAAATAAGTATGATTCTTATTCCCATTTTTCTTTTTTAAATATGTAAGAGAATCTATCTATATGTACATACACATACATCACTCTAATTCACTTTTGAAAACAGAAGCTCAGAGCTGTCAGAGTAGTCGTGATTTAAGTGTCCATCTTAATCAAGTTGTTCTTAGTAAAAGGTTCACTTCTTAGTCCTAAAGCTAATGTAAAAATTCACAGCAGTTGTTGTCGGTAAGCTAAAAGAGTTAATCAGTCATTAATTAGTTCAGTTCTCTGCCTTGTAATCACAAATCTGCAAGGGTCCTCTAAGTGTTGAACTTTTTCTCAAGAAAGTTTCTCCCCATTTTAACCTATTTTTTTTCAGCTTTAATTGAGTTTATTGGTACATTTTAGGGATACAGTACAGTTACATTCATTGTTGGGATCTTGTACCTCTACATGACAAGTCTTGATTCTCATTTTTTCCCCTTACCCCTGCCCTCCCTTCACCCCCTCCTCCCCTCCCCATCTACAAACACTTTATTTTCATCTTTTCATTATCTCACATTTTTAAGAAAAACAAAAAAGCAGACCAACCAAAATTACAGGGAGTCAAGAAAATCCCTTTCTGAGGCAGTAGGTCACTGGTTAGAGATAAAAGCTAAGTTTAGTCAACAATACAACTGCCAGAATCAGTATCAGGTGTTAAGGATGTGCAGGTGTCTTACAGATGTGTTGCCTTTGAGAAGCTGTCTGATGGGAGATATACAGAGAGATAATTAGAGTATAACTTCCAATATGTAAAATCTAACCATTGACAATAACACCTGAGTCAGCTTGGAGGGCCAGGAAGAGCTTCACAGAGAAAATTTCTGAAAGAGAAAGTTTTCCATGTAATCAGATTCAGGTGAGAGGTCCAGATAGCGTATGCAAAACAACTGAGAACAGAGGTGACCATCCCTAATCCAACACTTGTAAAAAATAAAGTGGATGAGGTGAAGTAAATGTCAGTCTTTGGTATATCCTGCTAAGAAAGGTGCATTTCCAACACTAACACTGACAACTAGATAAGGAAGGGACTGAGGGAGGGTAAGACCAAAGGAATGGTGACTACCAAAAAAGAAAACAAAATTTATCTGGCAGAGAAAATTAAAGATCCGAAGAACTGGGGTAGTAAGAATGGAAACAAGGGGCCAGATTACAGAGAAACGCGGTAGACAAAATTACAGGACTGGACTGGATGTGGGGAGTAGGAAAGAAGAAAGACACTAGGACCTCCCTGGTTTCAGGCTTGTGTAACTAAATTGATGGTGGCATACTCATCAAAATAGGAAACACAGCAGGAGGCATGGGTCTGCTAATGGGTATAATGAGTCTAGCCCTTGAAATAGTGTATTTCAAGTGAGATGAACAATGAAGTGAGCATGTGCGCTAAAATAGTGCATATACCTATCTGTAGCCAGGACAGAGGTCTGGATTAGAGTTAGAAATTCAGGTATCACCAGCTTATGAGCAGCAGGAGGCCAGGATAAAACACCTCAAACAGAATGGCTAGAGCAAGAGGAGTCCCATGAATGAGAACTTGGTCATCAGGCAGCAGAGGACTCACCAGTTTACATAAGCACACGGTATGCCACCACGAGTCAGGCAAGAATGAAATGGCTAAAAATTACTCAGTTGATATATCCAAATATGGTCCAGAAGTATATATACCCATATATGTACAGTGTTTATCTCCAGGTTATCTCTGGCAGTACAGTAATTTTAATTAATTTAATTATTTTTTTTCTTTTCTACTTTTCTGCTTTTACCAAATTGTTTACACTGTACATGTATTCTTTTTTTAGACTCCTATAAATGTTTACTTCTTTAAAAAAATTTTACACCAGAGAAAAGACTAAGCAGAAAAAGTGTAATTCCACATTTTAAATATCAGTTGATATATCCAAATGTGGTCCAGAAGTATATATACCAATATATGTACAGTGTTTATCTCCAGGTTATCTCTGGAAGTACATGAGTAATTTTAATTTTTTTTCCTTTCTACTTTTCTGCTTTTCCCAAATTGTCTACACTGTACATGCATTCTTTTTGATGAAATTAAAGGTAGAAAGTCTTTAAATTTTTTTAAAGAAGTAAACATTTGTAGGAGTCTTGATGATCAGAATAGATAAGCCTTTACCCCAAGCTAAACAGCTGAGAACAGACAGGAAGAAGCAGAAAGACTGAATCCAGAAACTCAACTTGCTGTAGCAGGAAGCCAAAAGAACAAGCTGGAAATTTACAATAAGTAAATGGAGCATGATATGGTGTCCTGAATTTAAAAACAACATAACCTCAGAGAAAGCGCAATGAGGAAAGCAACAACAATTTTAAAAAACATCTTAAAGCCTCTCACCCCTTACCCTTTGCACACACATGAGCACAACAGGGTAGGGACAAATGTAACAAGATGTGGAGATGCCAAGTCCTTCTAACTCCAAACTTAACTGCTTTGCTTAGCTAGGTGAGACAGTGAGAAAATAAAATGTCAAAAGCACCTTACAGGCATCCTTAATAGTAAATAGGGGTAAAAACACATTCCTTACACTACAAATCAGAGAGGTGGGAATTAAAGCATGGCCCAAAATGCATTGTGATGGGGCCTAAGTCTGAATCAAAAGAAACGAATAAAAACACAGGTAGAAATCAATGACATGCCAGAATGATGGGCAAAAGAGAGAAAGAACAGTTGAGATGAAGCAGGCAGAAGGATTCTGTGAATATGAGGTCAACTCAGCCAGACCATGGTGCCCAGTTACCTGGTAAAACACAGGTCTAGTTGTTGCTATGACAGTATGGATGTGTAAGATGTGACTAACTTTTGAATCAGCAGCTTTTTAAAATTTTTTAATGTAATACAAGTAGATATTAATAAAGAAAATATAAAAATAGTTCTATGGAAAAATAAACTTTTATAACAAAAATAATTAGAGAATAATTATGGTAAATTCACTGTGTATCATGATCTTAAAAGGACATATTTTCAACTGCTAATTGATTTCTCAGTTCACTTCCTAATAATACTATACTATTTTGTGCACAACATTTTAATTATAAACAAAGTATCCCACTCAGTATAATTTTGAACAATTTCTTATTTCTTAATACCTATTATATATTTTGGTCTTCATTTATACTTCCAGTTTCTTGCACCAGAGACAAGGCAATATTAACCACGTGTGCTCTATTTATTTCACTTATGAGTATGGTCTCTAGGTGTACCCATCTACCTAGAAATGTCTCAAGTTTAGCCTTCTGTATGGCTGAACAGTGCAGCCTTGAATAAAGATTATCTTTCACAATATGAAAGGCCTCGTCCAATCAATGTCAGGTTTTAAGAAAAAAAGACTAACGTTTCCCAATTCAAAAAGAATCTGTAGGGCCGGGGATTTAACTCAGTGGTTCGGTGGCCTGCCTTACAAGCGCAAGGACCTGAGATCAATCCCCGGTACCAAAAAAAAAAAAAAAAAAAAAAAAAAAAAAAAAAAAAAAAAAAGAATCTGTCCTCAAGACTGGAACATAGAGTAGCTGCCTGAGTTTCCTTCCAGCCTGCCAACGGATCCTACAAACTCACCAACTCCCACAGTCATGTGAGTCAATTCTTTTTTTTTTTTTTTTTAGTACCAGGGATCAAACTTGGGTCCCTGTACTTGTGAGGCAGACGGTGGAACCACTGAGCCAAATCCTCGGCCCTGTGAGTCAATTCTTTTAAAAACTAAATCTCTCTCCCTCTTTCTTTCTCTCTCCAACAAAAGAATAAATTTGCTGACAGAGACCAACAGGCAGAACCTTGAACTGGAAACAATGGAACTGAAATCAGCCAAGGTAGGGAGCAATGAGATATCAAAGTACTTAAGTAGATAAATGGCTTGATCACAATGCATTTGATAAAGAACATTTTGGAATCTATAATCTGTATCATATGAACTAGATCAGAAGACACTGAGTTAAAATATATTTGGACACAATCTATGCCACAGGATTCTGCCAGCAGCTATGGAAATGAAAAGAAATCCATTCAATATGAATATGTAAGTTGAACAGGTATATTTTGCATTTTCAAAATCTTTAAATAGAAATGCTATAAGAATACTGTCCATATAGATATTAACTTACCATATTTGTCTCGCAAGCCAACAGTGCACCTGAAAACTCCACCAAAGGCAACATCTTCACCAAATATTACTGAAAAATAATATTTAAAGACATTTTCTTCAGTAATCACTAATACTATGAAAAAGAATTTAAATGTGTACATTTTAAATTATAAAACACAAATGGACCATGAATCTAGATCACTATTTCTCCATTTCAACATAGGTGACATTAAGGATTGTATGATTCTTTTGTTGTGAGGGCTTTCCTAAACATTGCAAACACATAGCAGCAGCTCTGGTCTCTATGCACTGGCTGAGAACTGCCCCATCACACACACAGTTGTGACAACCCAAAGTGTTTCCAGACACTGTAAAAAGCACAGAAAGCAAAGAGGATTAAAATCATGCCAGCTGAAAGAGAACCACTGATCCAGAATCTCGTCTTGTTACTCCTATGAGGTTACAGGAGTGATATAGTTGTTAAGTGAAATAAATCATACGCACAAGCTTAAATACTGTGTGGTCTCTCTTTTGAGAAATCTAAAATATAAATAAAGAGCAAAATAAAACATTGATAGTATAAAATAGGAACATAGATCTCTGCAAAAGGAAGTGGACCAAAATATAAAGGGGGAGAAGAGGGAAAGAGGATTAAAAAAAGGAGTTAAACTGGGGATTTAGCTCAGTGGTTCCGCCACCTGCCTTGCAAGCTCAAGGTCCTGAGTTCAATCCCCGGTATCAAAAAAAAAATTAACAAAGGAGTTAAGATATGTTCTATACATGCACCAACTCCTCATGAGTTTAATCATTGTGTAAAGTGAACATGTAAGATGAATTTTTTTGAAAAACTACACTGACTTGCCGTGTCAGAAAGCTAGCTGGAGAGCTACAACTCATACTCCAAGCTCCCAGGCTAGTGATTTCTTATTCAGAGTACACAGTGTCAGCCAGACAGGAGTTGAAGGAAGAGCAGTCCAAGCCACGAGAAGGGTCTCAAATAACAAAAGCACTTAAACTGTGTGAAACAGAAAGGAATTAACTAAAAAAAGACATGTAGTAAGTAACGGAAAGATCATGGTAAGTGGAAATTTAGAGGAGCTTTATAGTATATCTAGAAAAATTAAATAGGGAGTATTCATAGAGCTTAACTCCAGTTCCACAAATGCACCTAACAGTTTTGTACATCTCAAGACAATAATTCACCCTTCTCCATATTTCACTCATCCAGTTTCATCATTTTCAGATAGCATTTGAAACAAGTAAGGGTTAATCATTTAGCTCTCACTTCCTCCTAAAAAGAATATCTGATTTTCACTTAAAACAAGGATTCTCATCTTATTAAAAAGCTTCGGCACTGCAAAAGAAACCATCAACAGAACTAAGAGACAACATCCAGTGTGGGAAAAAAATTTTACCAGCTGCTCCTCAGACAAAGGACTACTATCTAGAATATATAAAGAACTCAAAACAATCAGCACCCCTAAATATAAAGACCCAATTCAAAAATAGGCATCCGAAATGAACAGACATTTCTCAGACAAAAGTAAAAGCAGCAAGTAAATATTTAAAAAAATGTTCCATATCACTGGTCATTCTAGAGATGCAGATGAAAACAACACTGAGATTCCACCTCACCCCACAAAGAATGGCTGCTATCAAGAAATCAACCAATAACAAATGTTGTCAGGGTTGTGGGGAGAAAGGAACCCTTCTCCATTGTTGGTGGGAGTACAGACTGGTGCAACAACTATGGAAATCCACATAGAGATACCTCATAGAGCTTGGACTAGAGGTTCCATTTGACCCCATCCATCCCTCTGCTGGGTATCTTTCCAAAAGAATTAAAGAAATCATACCACAGTGATATATGTGCACTCATGTTTATAGCGGCACAGTTTGTAATAGCTAAAACTTGGAAACAGCCCATTTGCCCATCAGTTGGAAATTGGATAAAGAAGATGTGGTTTTCTATAAAATGGAATACTTCTCAGCCACAAAGAATGAGAAATTAGATCCATTCATAGGAAAACGGATACATATCCTAATGAGATAATTGACCATGTGAAATAGGAAGAAAAGGGCTAAAGGTGTAGGGAAAATGGGAAGGGTAGGGAAAGGGTAATAAGGGAAAAGAAAAAAATATGAGAAAATGAAAAAATGGAAATAAAGTGTTTGTAAATGGGGAGAGGAGGAGGGGGTGAAGGGAGGGCATGGATAAGGAGAAAAAAATGAGAACCAAGACCTGTCATGTAAAGGTACAAGATCCCAATAATGAATGTTACTGTACTGTATACCTAAAATGTACCAATAAACTCAATAAAAGAAAAAAAAACAAAAAACAAAGATTCTCAAGTGGAAATCCATAGTATTATTTTTTGAAAGGATATACATAGTATATCTATAGTGTATACTATATAGTAAATAGTACATCTACATGTATATTAAGTAAAGCCAACCAAATTTAGATACAGTAGGATAAGTATTTATATCAATCATAAGATAAAGATCTAATCACCTATGCAAATTACTTATAAATACTAAAAGTATTATGTTCAAATAAATCTTGCAAGTTGAATGATGACATTAAAAAAAAAATTTTGGAAATTTTAATTTCATTTTATAAATAAATATCTACAATATGCACACCCATGTTTATAGTGGCACAGTTTGTAATAGCTAAAACTTGGAAACAACCCATTTGCCCATCAGTTGGAAATTGGATAAAGAAGATGTGGTTTTTCTATAAATTGGAATACTACTCAGCCATAAAGAATGAGAAATTAGACTCATTCATAGGAAAATGGATACATATTGAGGATATACTCCTAAGTGAAATAAATAAATCACACATGTGTAAATACTGAATAGTTTCTCTGGTGTGAATAAACTGTAATAGTACATAAGATCCTAATGACATAACTGACATTGTGAAATGGGAAGAAAAGGGGCTAAAGGTGTAGGGAAGGTGGGATGGGTAGGGAGAAGGGTAATAAGGGAAAAGAAAAAATGTGAGAAAAGAAAAGATGGAAATAAAGCGTTTGTAAATAGGGAGGGGAAAAGGGGGTAAAGGGAGGGCAGGGACAAGGGGAAAAAATGAGAACCAAGACCACCTGTCATATAAAGGTACAAGATCCCAATGATAAATGTAACTCTACTGTATAGCTAAAATGTACCAATAAACTCAATAAAAGAAAAAATAAATATCTACATAAGTGATATTTTCTGTTTTTTTCTTAATGACAGCAAAAATGGAGAACATAGCACTTATCAGTAGTCAATCCAGAAGGTATTAATGTTAGGCCTACACATAAAATGAAAGTTAAATTACTATAGATATTCATGAGAAGTGATTAGTAACAAGTGCATTAAAAATGGTGAATAGTATAGTCTGATCACTTACCCTTAATTATCTTATCAAATCTTTTTAAAATTTCAGTATAGATATAATGTTAACCCTCAAACTGCAGACGAATACTGAACTTCCAACAAATGTTCCATTCTGAAATTAATACAGCTTTTGGTCAAGCAGAATGAAACTTACCTGCAGTAGGATCTTTGGCTAATGAGTTGTCCAAGGCACTTGTTATTGCTTGAAAAAGATTCATTTTCTGAGTTTGCCCTGTGGAAAAAAAAATATGTATCATTTCATACTGTGTAAAATATATAAAATAATCATTTTCTCGACAGTTGATTACAAATTAATTAAAAATCAAAGTTGAAATCAAGGCAAAGCCAAAGTGAGAATACAGCATGTGATTTTATAAGGATTTATAAGGATGCTGGGTCTGTGGAACACACAAAAGCAATACAGACCACCAGAAGTGTGCTAATGAGGCAAAATTTACACATATTAAACAATATACAAACATAATTAAAAAGGCAGACTATAATGAAATGACTAAATGTGTGTAAACAACAAGAGCTATGGAAAGTTAGAAAAGGTTCATGTGAGAATCAGAGTGAGAACAGTAAGGGAGAACACCCTAGACAGATATAAGGAACCAAAGACATAAAGGACACACATGACAAGTGGCATGTGTTTAACATGCCATTCACAGCAAATGGTCATATCCCATAGACAATAAAGTTTAGTACACATTATACTACAATGATAAGGTTAGCAATTTTATTCTAATGTTCACGCTCTTCAGTAACCAGGGTTTCCCAAAAGTCAAGGTCTAATTTCCAGTGTCAGTCATAGCAGCCAGAGCTGCTGCCTTCAACCCTTTTGCAATGGGACACTGGTCATTTGTGCTGTTGCTGGACACCCAACTCCTTCCCTATCCCAGCCTGGCTCCTCATGCCTGACCTATGATGTCATATCCTATGCATAAATATTTCAGACTTCTTCCTACTACCTCACTGCTTAAGAAGAATCTCTGCAAGCTGATACCTGTCTCCCTACATCTTCAGTACCTCTTATCCACTGGCACACTGGCCTTCTTACCATCTATCTACCTATTTGGTCTCAGGTATCTCCCCTTATCCTTTCAGTGGTGCTGAATGCCCAGGTTACAGGTCTTGGCACTCCCCTATCTGAAAAGCCATATTTCATTTGTGCCCAGAATTATAGCCTGTTTATATTCTCATATCTAATGGCAATAACAGGAATTTATTCAGGAAAGTATTGCTGTATCATTCACATTAAAGGATATACACTCATCCCTTATGTCCATGATTACTTTGTAATTTATTTGTCTTCAGACCAAGATTATAGCCCAGATAACAGATAATTTCTTTTAATTCTTCTCTATACATATCCTTAAACAATAGTTATTTAGTGGCCTACATCAGATAGTAATGGTTCAGATTAGAGTTCAGATTAGACTTCTTTTTCCTAATCACAATGATATTCCAACTTTCTCAAATTTCATACATCTCATACAGTGATACTGTCTTTTGTCTATCAGTACAGGGGTCCACACCCAGGGAAGAGTACATACAGATCTGTGGCCTACTAGGAACCAGACCACACAGCAGGGCATGAATGGCAGAGAACTGTGAAGCCTCACCTGTATTTCCAGCCACTCCCCATCACTCACATTAGCACTTGAGCTCTGCCTCCTAGTCAATCAGCAGTGGCGTAATATTCTCATGGGGTGAGAACTCTGTGAACTGTACATCCAAGGAATCTAGGTTGCACACTCCTTATGAGAATCTAATGCCTGATGATCCAAAGTGGAGCTGAGGTGGTGATGCAAGTGCTGGGGAGTGGCTGCAAATACAGATGAACATTAGCAGAGAGGTCTCATTGCACAGAGACATGATAAATCAATTGCTTCAGACTCTTATCAAAACCCTACCATTGAGTGGCAAGTGAAAACTGACCTGCAACTGATGGCATGCCAAAACATGACTACAGAGTAGACTGGACATAAGCAACACACTTCAGGAGTCATTCTCTCTGTCATTCCCAGATGGGACCATCTACTTGGAAGAAAACAAGCTCAGGGCTCCCACTTATTCTACATTATGATGAATTGTCTAATTATTTCATTATATATTATAATTTATTAATAATAGGACTAAAGTACACAATAAATGTAAGTGCTTTAATTATTGCCAAATCACTCCTCACCTCTGGTCCACAGAAAACTGCTTTCTGTGAATATATCCCGCTTCAAGAATGAGGACACTAAGACAAGAATACAATATTCTCAAGATTTTCAGGGATAGCCAACTACCCGCTTTTAGATGTCCTGTTCCAGATATCTTGGAGCAGTGTCTAAACACGTCCACTCACTGCCATAAAGTTGCAGTCATCACTATGCATTCAACAAAGCCTCTACAGAACACTCTACAGAACATGAGATTCCCCAGCCCCAAACAAAAGAATAATCTAATGGGAACCAATAAGGACTTTATGGAAGCACTTCACAGAACCAGAATTGAGAGTGAACCAGAAACTGTTAAGGGGAGAGGTATGGATCAAGTTCCTTGATGACCAATAAAATCTGATCCCTTTTCCTAGCACAAAGGCAAGCCTGATCTTTCCCATTGGTGCCTTGCCTCTTCAGCTCTTTCTCTCAAGCTGAAGTTTCTTTTCCATTTCCTCTGACTTTCTAATTAAAGTTTTGTTTGTCTTCTCATACTTCTTGGCCTGGTTTTTAAATTCCATTATCCATGGATCAAAGGACTCCCATATCTGCTATCACTTGCTGGTTTTCACTCATTTCCCCACTAGACCTCAAACTCCATATGGAAAAGGCTACAACCATATTTGTAACGTCTAGCAGAATCCAACATCTAGGAGAGAAAGCAAAGTGCAGAATGCATAAATAAACTCATACATACACTCAGTGTCTGTACCTCAGAACATGGAGAGGCCAGGATGTGCTGTTCCGGGGAGCAACACAGTGTAATGACAGAAGCAAACACATCTGTGTAAAGCAGTCCTGGTTGGAATCTGTTATATCAGTTTTCTCTGGACACATGAAGCAAGTTACTTTATTAGTGACATTCTGTGTCCTCTTCTACACAGAGACAATAATATCTAATATGTACGCTTGCTATGAGAATTTAGCAAAATGATTCGTGAAATATCCAGCATTTACACAGATCTGTTCTATGTGGGTTATATTCTCTTTCCCGTTCTTAGTGAAACTGATTCTACCACCACAGGTACCAGGCACCAGTTATTACATGGATTATCTCAAGGGATCTTCACAGCAATCCTCTGGGGTGGTACGGAGGAAAATAAAACTTGTGCAGATAAATAAACTTAGGCAATGTCAACGCAAAGCCGTCAAGAGGGGAATCAAATTTGGGGATACACTGCCTTTCAAGAACCACAGCTCTTACCATCTATACAGTACTGTGCATCGAATGCCAAAATCTTTCAGAATAATAGCCAAAAATGAGATGAATCGGAAAGGTATGAGTCAAGTTCCCTGATGATCAATAAACAGTGTATGTAGAATCTTGAAGGTGAGTAAATGACAGTGAAAGAGAAGGATGTAGTCTCTGCCCGAAGGAGATATAAAAGAAGCCATGTGTCAGGGAAGGTCAGATCTGAGACAGGATTAGGAGGACAAAGTGTTAAGTGAAGAAACTAAACATATATGAATAAAGTAAGACACAGCACAAGAGAATGGCTAAGAGTAAACACTTTGGAACCAGATGGAACCAGACTCCTTGAAAATGAAACACAGTTTATTAGCTCATACAGGAAGAGTAATCTGGGAGAGTCACACATCTAGGAAGTAAAAGTTTAATCTCTTTGTGCCTCCGTTTCTCCTTTTGTAAACTGTGGATAATAACAGGATATCTATCACAGCACTATAAGGAAGGGCACACACATGAACAATTCAAAATGCAATAGGAAAAAGAAACAAAATGATCGGCTCTCAAATGTTCATAATTTTGCCATAAAGTTGTTTCGGTGCCAGACTAGCATTCAGACTAGCAAGTCTCATGGAGCTACATTCCACCCACACTTCAAACATTATGTCTAAACTTAAGTCATCCTCACTCCCTCCCTTGTTCTTTTTCTTCAGAAATGTTTCTCCTCTGGCAGTCCTTATTCGTACCAGTTCTATCAGTTCATCGGTGATACCATCATCTTACCATCCAGCTTTCCAAACTAAACATCATAAGTCATCTTTGATACTCTTTCCCTATGTTCTCACACATACTGTGCCAAATCTGGTGAATACCTTCAAAACATACAACCCACCGGTACTGTCCAGGTTTAATTATGTCCTCTCACCTGGACAATGACAAATGATCTCTTTGCTCTTTACATTAAATTTACTAATCCTTTCCCTTAACTGTCTTAGCATAACACAACCACCTCAATCTCTTTCTTGCCTAGAAATAATCAATGGTCTTACACAGCCCAACAGAAATTGGATCTGAATGTAACGCCCCATCATAGCATGGGGTACATTGGCGATAGGGAATCTATCATCCCCCTAACCTTTTTCTGAATTTCAAGGCCTTTCTTTACCCTTTCAAGCTTATTTCCTTCTCCTTTGGTTTTTCCTCCACTACTTCCCATTCCTCACAAAAACATCATTTTTTCTAACCTATCTTTACTTGTGTTGTTCCTTTTCTGTAACCTTCAGTGCTGGAAAGAAGACCTTCACCCCCGCCCCGCAATAAAGGGCTTTTCTGTCCACCCTGATCTTCCAGAGACCCACCTGTGTTCCTCTCTCTATTCAAGACACCCCAACCGTGATATTTGTCTCAGTCACTACAACACAAGGCCACCCCTTTGAGGGACTTTGTCCTGTCTTGATTTTGTTTCTTCCAGGGAAACAATGCTCCCCAGAGCCCTTGCTGAAGCTCATTGTACAATGTAAATGACACCTACTCAGAGCCAGCCCTGACCACAATTATTTAAGCAGCCCCTTTGGTATGTCAAAACAAACTAGAAGAATGAAAAGTATTTGAACCACATGTGAAGGGCAGAAAGTTAGTATCTTCACTATACAAATTCTGAGTATATAAAATGTTTGGGAAGCTTTGGAGTAAGACACATTGAGGTTCAAAATTCTGGCCCTGCTATTTAGCAGATTTGGGGAGGCCACTAACATCTTTGAGCCTTAATTCTTCCCTGGCAGACTATCTAGTCTATCTAGTTCATAAGGGTATGGTGAGGACTAATGTCTACCAAAACACCTGAAATAGTTACTCAGTACTGTACTGGGACTGACAGGAAAATACTAAGGGTATAATTTTTGAAATATGAAAAAATATGGAATGCTCAATTAACAAGGGAAAATAAATCTACAGAACATAGAAAAATACTCAATAGAAATTAAACAAATGCAAACTAAGTCAGTGAGCACAAAATACCCAAGCGTGTGTGTGTGTGCACCAATGATTTTAACATCAACACCTAATACATTCTTATACATTCTTATGCAGTGATGAAAAACCTTTTAGATTTCAATGATACAAACAGCTCACAGTGGCCTTCATGCCAAAGGTTTATCAATATTGTAATATACTATAACTATTATAAACTCTTATACAGATGGAGTACAAATTATGCATTATAAATCCACCAAAGTATTTCTATTTTTAAATTAAAAATTTCACCTCTAGGGCTATATTCGGAAGAAATAGTCTCAAGAGACATAAAAACCATATATATGATAAATTTATATCTGCATTACTTGTAACACTGCAAAACTATTACAATAAAAACAATGGCAATTATTAAAAATTTCCATTTACTGAGTGCTTGTTAGTTATTAAACTGTGTATATTAAGTATATCATAAATATTATCTATGCAGCACTAACTACCTTCTCAAGTAGGTATTATGATTAACCTCTTACTTATAAAGACACTGAGGCTTCTAGGGGATAAGTGATAACCTAAAGTCACAGATGGAGTGACAAGACAAAACCCACGATGATCAGATTCTACCTACTGAATTGTAGTGTCTCTACTCAGGAATGTGTCTCTTTAAATTCTACAGAAGGCTATAAAAACAGTATAGCCTTAAAGAAAAATGTTTCTGATTAAATAACGCAAATTACATTTGTATTAAAACTAGTTACAGAAATACATTAAACTGGAAAGATGCACTCCAAAATGTTAGTATATTTGCTGTAGTGTGCGGTAAAATTACATTTTTTTACTTTTCTATGATGCAAATTATCTGAAATATTTTAATTATTTTATAGCAAGATATAAATGTATAATTAAGATGTTAGTAACTTCACAATTGCAGAGGGGGCAATTAAGAAGACCTGTGCTCTGTGTCTCAAGCATTGGGGCAAACATTCCTTGCTGTAAAGATGGAATTTAAGGTTCATCTTGGTGAATAAAAAATGCTATTAATCTTTTGGTATCTACTGTGTCACAAAACTGGAATATCCTCTCAGTACATTGTTTCTACATGCATTAGAACTGTCTTTAAGATAGCAACACTGGAATGTGGCTAACTAGATTCCAAAGCTGGAGTAACTGCTAACTTACTTATCCATGTCCTTGGAAAAAGTATCTGGAGACCTCAGTTATCCTAACTGCAAAATGGGAATAAAAACATTACCTGCCTTTTAAGGGTGCCCCTAATCATGAAATGGGATAATGAATGTAAGTTTCTCAGTATGGTGCAGTCCAAGGGTAAATATTCAATAAATGTTCACTCTTGTTATTCACAAGAAAATAAGATATACTTCCAAAAATGACAGCCCTAGCAAGTGAAAAGTTATTAGGCAAGGACATGGGAATGCTTGCATACCATTTCCTCATATTCTGAAGAAAGACAATGAATCTTCAGGAGATTAAAAAATTGCACAACTGCTAAAAGTCATGGAACAGTCACACCACACGAAGTTTGCCCTTCCTTTGGTGTCCTCTCCCCATCACCTGCTCATAACTCCTCCTCAGCTAAGCCACAGCATCGCTAGCACAAGCTCAGGACTAGACTCAAACAGGAAACCTGGATTTTTTCCCCACATTTCTAGGAGGACCCTGTTCTGTGACCTTGGGGAAAACAATTCTGTTACTTTGTCCCTCAGCTTTTTTCCAGCTACCAAACATATATATCCATCGTGTCTTTTTAAATGTCACTGCCCAAAGCCAGTGGCCCAGTCCTGAGCAAGTCACAACAACACCTAATACCAGGGCTGGGAAAACGAGGATGAAGGCCAGAAAAAGGTACCGTAGGCGTTCCCTGGGCACCACCTCTCCACCCTCAGGCCTTTTCAGAAGGCTATGTGCTCTCTCTCACCTATCTCAAAGGTGCCTAAGGACTGCATCTCCAGGATGAGCAGTCAACGAAAACTGAACGAGGAAAGAATTTTTAACAGAACCTTAGGCAAGGAGCTTCTGGAGCAGAGTGGGACTGCGCCCGGGAGTACGGGCTGCACCAGGACTGGACAGCCAGCCCCCCGGCTCACCGTGCTCCTGGGACTCCCGGTCCGGCTGGAAAGTGAAGTGAGCCACGTGCCGCGTCTGAGCAGCATTCTCATCAGCGGAGGCAGGAAGCAGAAAGCCCCGCCCCAGACCCGCACAGCGAAGCCGACGACAGTGCCCCTCTGCTCCGGCAGCACGGAGCCTCAGCAGCCGGCCCGCAGTCACCGCTGGAGCCGCCATCCCCGAGCGCCGTCTAGTTAACGCGGAGCTCAACCCCACGCTGCCCGCAGAGAGGGCGGAGCACTCGAGCGGCCTCCACATTGGTTCGGGCGGAAGGGCGGTTCCATAAAAAAAACCAATCAGAGATGAGAATTCGGGGGCGGGGCGGCGGCGAGACAACCGAGTGGGGCAGGCTAGCTGTGGGCAAGCGGAAGAGAGGACAGGGCGGGGGACCCGGGTGACTGAGCCCCGTGAAATTGTTCCTGGAGGTGGAGCCTTCCCAAAATCGGCTGGGGGGGGTGCTGGGAGGAGGTCAAGGGTTTGCAGCGCTCCACACTGTACCAGGATTTGTTCTCTTTCAGTATCATTTACAATGACATTTCCTGTACCTTTTTTGTTTTAAAAAGTGGCTCCCTTTTTAAATCCTTTTCTATTCTTTATCTCTGACATTCTATGACTGATGATGTTACTGGCATTGGTTATTCGTTTAGAGTTTCAGAAAGCTATTCGAATCACTGGTCAGAGCTTCCCCTCTTAATTCACTCTCGCATGGGAATGCTTAATAAGAATATATAAATTTTTATTGAATTTGTTTTTCCGGACATATATAAGAGTGTAAAAGGTAAACAGATTTTATTAGGCAAATCCACTGAATAAGAATGAGTGCGGTTTTTTTTTGTCTGAATGCAGCGAAAATTATTTAATCTTACTCTAAATAGCTTAGAAATCTGGAAAATTGGAACCATTAATTTATATTCATAATGATTAACAGTGAAGTTTCTTTTTAAATATCCATGTGTTTAAAAGGATACCTTCCCTGATCATAAATTTACAAATTGCAGTAAAATCAAGTATGATGGCCAAACCTGGGAATGTCCTTCAGATAGAGATGAAAGTGAGGAGGAGGGGCAGGCTAAGATCTAAGACCCAACATGAAGAGAGAGAGAAGGAAGAGGAAACAGTGTGCTTTTTGTGTTCTCCTGAGCCTCCTGACCCATATTTTGTTGTGCAAGGAGGGAAGGGGGAGGGAAGAAATGAAATGGGGTGAGAGGAAAAGCAGACAGATGTGCCAATTGCCTGTTTTACGATTGACATTGAGAAACAGCAATTAAAAACTACAAAGGGAGAACCAAAATTATATCTCCATTACTCAGACACCAATGCTCAGCCCCAAATTTCAATATTTCGAGGATTCTTTAACTTGGTTTTGGTTATATTCACTTCTACTGTTTTAATGGTGGATGGATATTGGAAAGTTATGTTTTTTCATTAAGATGTATATGAGAGGTGTTTTTATTTTATTTTAATATAAGGGAGAGGTAACAAATGAAATTACATTTACATAGTCAAATTTTAATTTAAAAATAGAAGACAAAGATTGAGGATACAAATGAACCACTTCATTTGCTGATAGTCTTAGGAGCTGGGTATAGAGATGACTTAGGCTTGGGAGAAAAATAGTAAAAGAATTAGTGAGAATTTTTTTGAGCTTCTGTGGTGTTTCAGCCACAGATGTGCCACCACTGAACTATAGATCAAAATATAGTTCACTTTCAAAATATCCAAATTGGTAGACAAAGGGGACACGTTTGACAGCTATAACCTAATGTGATAGAGCCCCAGAAAAATGTGAAGAGCAATAAGCTCCATTTGGGAAAAATGCTTCTAGAAATAACACTGAGCCAGCCCTAAAAGATAACAGATGTCACCAGGCAGATTATGATGGGAGAGATCTTGCAGAAAAACTAAATATGTACAAAGCCTCTTAGACATTGAAAAATGTGTTATATTCTAGAAGAGAAAGTAGGTTGGTGCTGCTAGATTCAAAATGGAAGGAAAGTCACAGAGATGGACACAATTATGGAAGAGATTAAATCGTGACTTTGAAAGAAGTTGTATCTGTAGGCTGGTGTAAAAAGTGTTGGCTTCAACTACATACAGTGTAGAAAGACAGTGAGAGCACCTAACAGACTTGTCTGCCCAGCATACTGCTTTCCTTTCAAAAATTTCCCTTTACCATCATGCCATCTTCCTGGCAGCCACAGAAAGGTTTTATGGCTTTACAGTGGGAACCTCGCCCCTCCATTGGCCATACTGCATTAATTGTATGTTGGGATACTGAGTATACTGTTCTGTGAATTTTGCAGGTGTAATTTAGAAAGAAAGGTCAGTCTACCCCACTCACACAGTGTATTAGAGACACAGCCTCACTATATAGCCCTGTTGGCCTCCAACTTGTGATCCTCCTGCTTCAGCCTCCTCAGTGCTGGAATTACAGTCATCTGCCACCAGGTCAGACTGTCTTTGAATGCTACTGGGAACTGCAAAAGCTGGAAGTTTTCAATAGTTTTATAAACAATAAAGGTGAAGAACAAATTTACATTAGGTTTGTTCCTGAAGTCTACTTTCTTTTTGGTCCTGGGATCCCATTTAATACCACAGTGTCACTAAACTAGATTCTCCTTTCTGCTTTAACTACTGCCATTTGCATTTGTAACAATTTATGTCCCAGAACACGTAGAGAACCCATGACAGTGGAACCAGAATACAATTCATAGTTTCTGTTCAGTCTTCAGGATGATGCATGAGTTACTTTCTGTCACTGGGTATCACCGTCCCTGCAACTTGTATCTTTTCAGACTCAATCTTGCTCTCAGGAGACCTTATCTGATATATTAGGGTAGTATTTTGTGGTATAATACCTTTATATCTCGGCTTCTGCCCCCAAACTCAAACAGATGCATCAGGAAGGCCAGTAGCCTTTGAATTTTTTCCCCCTAAGGATTGAACCCTGGGCCTTTACACTGAGCTATATCTGTATTTGGTCACTAAGTCACTATGTTGCCAGGCTCAGCTTAAACTTGGTTTCCTCCTGCCTCAACTTCTCAGAGTGCTGGAATTACAGGTGTATGCTACTATTCCCAAGTTAAAGTAGATTTTAAAGCTGACCTCAGAGACAATAATATGAGAAAAAAGTTCAATTTTTAAGACTAATTTCTAAATATTAAACCTCAAGAGCCTGAACAACTTAGTCAAAACTAAATATTATAAAAAGCATAATGGAATATTACTCAGCCATAAAGAATGAAAAATTAGATTCATTCATAGGAAAATGGATTCATATTGAGGATATACTCCTAAGTGAAATAAATAAGTCACACATGTGTAAATACCAAATAGTTTCTCTGGTGTGAATAAACTGTAATAGTACATAAGATCCTAATGAGATAACTGACACTGTGAAATGGGAAGAAAAAGGCTAAAGTTGCAGGCAAAGTAGGATGGGTAGGGGAAGGGTAATAAGGGAAAAGAAAAAATGTGAGAAAATGAAAAGATGGAAATGAAGTGTTTGTAAATGGGGAGAGGAGAAGGGGGTGAAGGGAGGGCAGGGCCAAGGGGAAAAATGAGAACCAAGTCTTGTCATGTAGAGGTGCAAGATCCCAACAATGAATGTAACCGTACTGTATGCCTAAAATGTACCAATAAACTCAATTTAAAAAAAGCATACTGATATGAGAGACAGTCTTTCCCACCTTTGCCTCTAAGGAGGTAGATTCCGAGAGTAGAAAGAACTATAGGTATATTTCTTTGCAGATGGAACTGGAGGAATATCATTAATTTCCAAGCTCCCCAATATTCCATGGCATTTAGAACAAGAGAATGCTTCTCCCATGTAGCCGCAAGAAATGTAAATGAGACATCCAAGTTCAAAAGAAATTGAAGGAACACAGCAATCAACATTATAAGGGAATTGTTTCTAGATTATACACATAAAACTTTTAAATTCAACAATAAAAAGACAAATTAGGTAGGCATAGTAGCACACACTTATAATCTCATCACTCAAGAGTCCAAGATAGGAGGATTCAAGTTTGAAACCAGCCTGGACTACACAGTGAGACCTTACCAGGGAGAGAAGGGAAGCAAAAAGAAGAAAAAAGGGAAGAGGGAAAGGAGGGGAGAAGAGGGAAGAGGAAGGAAGGGAAAGAAAAGAGGGAGGAGAAGGGAGGCAAAGAAAGAATTCTAATTCACTGCTGAGAGGAAAGCAAAACACACAGCCATTTTGACAGATAGTTTGACAGTTTCTTACAAAACAAGAAAGATCCTCACCATGTAACGTAGCAATAGTGCTCCTTGGTATTTACTCAGATGAGCTTAAAAATCATATTGACATAAAAACCTGCATAGGCTATTTATAGTAGCTTTATTCATACTTTCAATAAGTTGGAAGCAAACAAGATGTAGTCTAGCAGGTATAAGTGAATAAGTGGATAAGTGAATATAATGTTATTCAACACTAAAGAGAAATAAGCTATGAAACCATGAGAAGATTCAGAGAGAAGTTGCATGCATATTACTAAATGAAATAAGCCAACTTGAAAAGGCTAGATTTTGTATGATTCCAAGTACATAACATTTTGGAAATGGAAAAACTTTGGAGACAGTAAAAAAAGAAATCAGCAGTTGCCAGGAGTTTGGGGAAGTGAGAAATAAACATGCAGAGCACAGAGGATGTATAGTCATCTGCCACCAGGACGGACTGTCTGTAGCCAGTAAAAACAGTCTGTAGAAGTTAGAATGCTGAATACCTGTCATTATGCACTTCTTCAGGCCTGCAGAATCTGCATCACCAAAGTTGAACCCCACAGTAAACTGTAGAATTTAGATAATAAAGATGCATCCATATAGTCTCCTTAACAGAGACAAATGTGGAATTGGGGTGGACATATTGGTAGTTGGGAAGGCTGCTGGAGAATTTTAGAATTCTGTGCCCCTGTCCTTGATGTTTCTGTGACTATCAAACTGCTTTAAAAACCAAAATCTAAGGGCAGGAGATGAAGATCAGTTGCCAGGAGTTTGGGGAAGTGAGAAATAAACATGCAGAGCACAGAGGATGTATAGT